TTCATTCATTCATTCATTCATTCATTCATTCATTCATTTATGAATTTATTCGTGTATTTATTTATTTTTGGGAGGGGTCTTACTTCACTCCTCCAGAGCTATTTTAATCAATAATTCTACTACCATTTGACTATTCAAATCACTCTAGTTCAATTATTTTATCATTTATTTTAGCGTCCATTTACATATTCAATGTCAGATAACCCGTGTTTGGGATCTATTTACTTATGCCTCCAAACAATAAACATTCGTCTTTCCAAACATTGCTAAACATTTCCATTTTTCATTTTACTATTACCTACTCAACTTTTCTTTCTCACAAGTTAGAGCATTTTCCAAATATTTTTAACTCTTCTATCTTAGCGCTTTCTAAAGCTGTTTCAGTGAACAAAATTGGCGCCTCCAAAGCTCAACAGAAAGTACGAAAAATTGCACCCACAAAGTCAAGAACATTTTTCTCATCACAAACAATTCCAGAAAAAAAATGTCCGTTTCACCAACAAATATACAAAAAACCTTTCCTTACCAAAAAAACCATTCAAAAGTCGCCTCTTTAAATCTGTCTAGACACTAATTCCACCCACCGACCACACTCAATTGGCTTCCAAACAACTCCTTCTCTAAGTGACTTAAACACACGTCACCACGCTGCCGCCAACGCGTCTGACAAACTCCATACGGCAACTTAACCCTACAACATACAAAATGGCGAACCACAGGAATACCAACACTCAACAAAACCCACATAGCTTCCTGCTGKATTCAACAATAACTACAAGTCTTTGGGCACCCTCCAACTCGCTCCTCGCCCGAAGGCCACAAGTTCACTGGCCTCTCAAACTCCCTGTGAGGGTGCCCAAACACCCATCAAGCCACCAGGTCTGGCCCCACATGGTAGCAACCAATTTTCGACTCACTAAAACTCCCTATTTCTCCCTATTCATGGCCAAAAAAAACAACCCCATTGCTGACCATGAGTGCCCCTCTACACACTTCTTCGTGCAGAGAACCATTGCTGCCTTCATTAGGCTTAACGATGCCTTCGGGCACCTCGTGGCTGATCTCTTCCCTTCCCTTTCTTATGGCGACGAGCGACTGAACTAACGAGCGAACGCACGAGCTAGATACCAACCCTCTCATTACATGCGCACCCTATGCTAATTATCTCTTCCACACTACTCTATCGTATACGCCATTTGGGTTAGCACACTTCCACTTCCACTTCCAACCAACCTGCTGCTTACTTCCTTCCAATACACACTGCTCTCCAGCCCAGGTAAGCTTCCTTCATTGTTTTTTTAGTGCTTCCAATTCCATAGTCCTTCCACAACCACACTAAAACTTACGCTTTTCTCCACTCACTCATGCTACACTGCAAACACGAAAAGTCTAAAACACTTTACACTATTTCGTACGCTTTCCATCATTCAGCACTTGCACACTCTCACTCTTTCTACTCTTCATTACATTACCATTCTTATATACATATTATTTCACCTACATTATTACAATGTATAGCCTTAGTTTTGGCATAATACAAAGCCATTTTTCCCCATTTTTTTATGCCTACAGCCTCAATCAACTCTAACTTTTCGTGTTTGCCACTACTCATTTCATGTTTTTATTCTTTTCACCATCATTTCAATTCAATTACTTCAATACAAAAATACACAATGATTATTCATACAAAAATAGACATCTATTATTGAACTTTATCATTATTGTTTACTTACATCTTCACAGTAGCCTTTAAATCCACACTCACTTGGTGCTAGTTTCTAGCTTGACACTTCATTGCTTTTTCTTGAATTTCAAAAATAATTAAATACATCATTATTAAACTTATACGTAGAATAGGTTTTATAAATAGAATTACATAACAAGATT